AGAAGCCTCAGCATCTTCAGCAGGTAAGCTGGGGACCCAGGAGAGCCAATACTGTGGCTCCAGTTCAAGTCTGAAGGCCTGAGAACAGGAGAGCAGATACTGCAGGTTCAATCCAAAAGCCCACAGTGTCAAGGCCCAGGAAGAGGCAAAGTTTTCATTCTAATCCAAAGGCAGGAAAACACCGATGCCCAAGCTCGAAGGCTGTGAGACAGTAGGAATTCCCTCTTGTTCAGGAGAAGGTCAGCCTCTAATTCTATCAGGACTTCAGTGGGTTGGATGAGGCCTGCCTACCTTAAGGAGGACAATCTGTTATACTCAGTCTCCTGATTTAAATCTTAAACTCATCCAAAAACATATTCACAGAAATGCTCAGAATAATGTTCGACCAAATATCTGGGCACCCCATGGTCCAGTCAAATTGACACATGAAGCTGACTATCACAGGAATCATAGGTGAAATCTTTGCTTTCTTCTCCCGATACAGGTTAGAATGTGGGACAGCTCTCTCCAACCTAGATGGACTCTGCCTGTTGGGACTGAAAGTCTATAAACACTATTGAGCTGCCATTAACCCAAACCATGTAGGTCAGTGAAGATGCCTCAAGCGGCCATAACTTTCCACTGAGAATTCAAGAATGTTTTGTAAAAATGTGATCTTTCAGGGACTCAGTGTCAACTTATATCAACGGATAATATTTGTAGGATTGAACATGTAGAAATAAAATTACACTATAACAAAGCACTGACAATTTGGGGGCTATTATTTTCGTACCATAAGTGTTGATTTGTTGAGCTGTTCTTGGAATGCTATACACACCACTCCCCACAAATATCCATGCCTTTTTGCTAAATATTGTACAACCAGCTAAATTAGAATATTTCCTCACTCTGAACTGTGATCAGCTTGAGCATTTGAAATTTAATAACGGGCAGTGACTTATTTAGTTGAAAACTTAAGGCAGCTGCAAGTTCATTCTATACTTAGAAGGAATAATAGCCAGATTCCTCATTTGGGCTGTGTCCTTTGAGCTGTAGGTATTTAGCGATAATTAGAATGATGGCAATTATAATGATAGCCAACCTGTGTCAATTATTGATAGCTAAGTTGCTTTATGTTGATTAAATTTGTGTTCTAATTTTATGGGTAGATAAACAGACTTAATGGATTTTAAACTTCAATTATATTTGCACATCTAATTCGCTAAATGCTAGACTATATATCTACTTTTATTAATGTTGATAGTGAACCTGATGAGTTCTAGTTCAAGGTGGATTTCACTATGTCTACATTACCCAGTGTCCCTATAGATTAAATTAGTCAACCAACCATTGGCAAGGTTTCAAAATAACTTCTTTGTGTCAGTGAGAGGAGGGCTATTTCTTCAGGGGGTTGTGGCTAGATTAGGGACGTGGATCATTTCTGGAAAGGTAATTATCTGTATTATTCATGGAGCATGTTATTTCTATATTTCTTTGTAGAAAAATAAGTACATTCCTAAGAGGGAAAAGACACAGGTATGTATACAGAAAGGGGCAGAGATCTGCTCACCGTTTTTTCCCGGCCATATGCCGATTTAAAAATGTAGCTTTAGTCAACTTTTGGCTATAGCTTTGGGTCATTTACATTCATTCCCCTTACCTGGTTACAGCCCTAGGACTTGGACCCAGTGAAAAATCCCCTATCACAAGTTAAGATGATCATTTGGTCATACTGAGATGAAACCAACTTGGAGACGGTGGAGGAATTTCCCCACCCCCGGAGGAAGCTTCGGGGTCATAACATCCTGTAGGCACACTCTAGGGTATGCCTGATCCCCCAGGACTCTCAGATACACAGTGCTCAGGGCAGGAAGGTCTCCTTTGCTCACCTGTGTCTGTTTTTAACAGTTTACAAAAGCTTTTTTAAGAACAGAGAAAATAAAACACGCTGGGCTGACTGAGGAGAAACAAATATGCGTGTTGAACGTGCTGAGTGTGCTGGTGTGCGCTCAGCATGAGACATCCCAGCTCTGAATGGGAAAATAAATAATGCCATCCCTTGAAAACCATTGGAAGGAGAATGTGGGGGTGGGATACATAGACTAAGACTCACATAACTGTCAAGCCCTCACTGAGAATTCACTCACTCACTCACTCACTCACTCACTCACTCTTACAGCCAATAATTATTAAGCTCGTATAAATGCCAGGCACCCTGATCACAACTCAAAAGACAATTCAGAAGATTTAATTTTGGCCCTCATGGGCTTATAATGGAGGCAAGGAAAGGGGGAGTAGACAGCAGGAAACAAGTAATTTTGTTTCTCATTCTAGAGAAGAGACATGGTAAGATTACATGGCTGTAGATTAGAATCATGAGCAACCGAATCTAGGTAGTTTGCAGGAGAGCTTTCCCAAGCAGGTTAAATGTAAACCCAGGTCAGAAAAGTAAGTCCCAGCTAGAAGGAAAAAAGGCAGGTAAGGAAGAAGTATGGGAGGGGCTGTGCAGGTGGAAGGAAGAGCATGGTGCCTAATTCTCATGGAATTAATTGGCTGGAAGGTAATTTTAATAGCTTGCCTTTCTGACACCTTACCAAGTGCCACCGTGTGTGCTGACAGCTTTATGAACATTGTCACAATTAATCCTTTATAGAGACCTCTGGGAGGTAAGTATTACTATTCCCAATTGAAGAAATGCGAGGTCTGGTGAAGTCCAATGACGGTAACGGGAAGAAAAGGAAGCAAGGTTCAAAGTCCACATGATATTTACAACATTTAAAAGGGAGAAAGAGAGAGAGGCCAGAAACTGTAGATGATAGTTATCCTTAATCTCAAGCGGCATTAGCTGTCTTTTCTCAGGCTCCGTGCCTGGACTCAGTCCACCCACCTGGGAAGTGTGTCTCTTGCTGAGTCTAGGACTCTAGCAGCTGATGCTAAAAGAGAGACTGATGTGCCCCCCTGAACTGTCCTCTTAGTTGGAGCTGCTGTAGCAGGATACCCAATGACAGAGATTTATTTCTCACAGTTCTGGGGGTTGTCAAGTTTGAGGTCAGGGTGCCAGCCAGGAGGAAGGGAAGGAAATAAGGAAAGGAAGGAAGGAGGAAAGAAGGAAAGGAAGGAAGGAGGAAAGAAGGAAGGAAGGAAGGAAGGAAGGAAGGAAGGAAGGACGGAAGGGAGAAAGAAAGAATCCTTTTTTCCATATGGAAATTAAATTCTAACCCCCATCTCCCTTATTTGTTGTTAAGTTCACAATACTATTATCCCATTTAACAAACCAGTTCATGGAGGCTTGGAGGCTTCCCAACCTGACTAGCAGGTGCGACGGGGCCTCCCTGGACTGGGTTCTCTTCTGTGTCAACCAGCCCAGTGAGTTTGCTTATTTCCTTCTGTCCATTTTCCTGCACTTTTGGGAAATAGTCATACCTCAGGCTTGGGGGTGTACAAGTATCCCGAGGGGTAAAAACACAGATATCTGTGCATCTAGTTGTTTAGCTACATAGATCATTATTTAACAGATAGCCAAGACGACTAACTAGTCAGCTGTTCTACTTCCATTTTTAAAAAATGAAGACAGCATTTTCTTAGCATAAATGTATGTCAGTTTCAGACTTATGACAACTTGAAGTAAAAACAGCAAATAATAAAATGAAGCGATTTTAAGCCGCACAAATGCCAACTTGGAAAGCGCGGGTGACATTTGGTGTTGCTTGCAGATCTTGGCCATCTCCTTACACTGTGGTTTTACTTTGGATGCCCAGCACTGAGAAAAATCCTGAGTGACACAGCTAAGTATTAGCGAATTATAAACATTTAAAAAACACCTCATCTTGCAATCTCAGGATACTTTCCCGTTAAACTGAATCCAGAAATTTGGGTGAGGAGTAGCAGGAAATATTTGTTTCAAAGTGAAATCACTTCTATCTTCCTGATTTGTTTTTCATTCATTCATGATTGCATAACCGACCCTTCTACCATGACGAGGGTATGTGTGACCACCATGCCTGGGGCTCGCCGGATGTTCAAGTGGAGGGAGAATGTATAAGGATATGGACAAGAGTGGGCTTGATGTTTTTCCTTTTCCCCTTTTTAAATTTTTTTTGCCATTTTAACCATTTTTAAGTGTATAATTCAGTGATATTAAGTACATGCACAAGGTTGTGCCACTGTCATGCTGTCCACTACTTTGCTGTGTTTTTAAAATAAAGTTTATTTATTTTGAGAAAGAGAGCGAGAGCGAGAGCAAGAGAGAGAGAGAGCGAGCAGGGGAGGGGCAGAGATAGAGGGAGAGAGAGAATCCTTAGCAGGCTCTGCACTATCAGCACAGAGCCTGATGTGGGACTCGATGTCACGAACGGTGTGATCATGACCTGAGCCAAAATCAAGAGCCGGATGCTTAACCAACTGAACCACCCAGGTACCCCTCCCCTACTTAGTTTTTTAAAGCTATTCCCAAGTCAGGACACTTTGAAAGATGCACACGTGGTACCAGTCATTATCTGAAAGCCACCATTTCTATGAGTGCCTGCATATTAATACTTGAGCTCCTACCAATCCCAATGTTGTTCAATCTCTTCAATTTAAAGTTGATTCCCCCCCCCCCCCCCCCCCCCACTTAAGATTAGAATTCTTCTGGACTGTCATTTCCTGGTAGTGTTGCCAGAAGATTTGGAACCCTCAGGGATGCCTGGGTTTGGAACTTGTGATCTGACCTGATCCCTAGCTAGTGTCTTCAAAGACTTTAATTAGCTTTTACCCTGATTTCTTTAGTTAGTACCTCGCCCGTTCCCTGGGCTGCTCTAATGACCTGAAATCTCATCAACTTCTTTCTGAAGAAAACCAGGGCATGCACTCCGATGACATTCCTTTGAACACCGCCCCCCCGCCCCTGGCCTTTTTTTTTTTGGTTAGAGCCGAAAAAAATGGAGTAAAAAATCAACCACATCTTTCTTCTATAGACCAAGAAATTATAATTGTTGATGGAAAGGTCCCATTGTACTGGGATAATTTTCACAACAGCCTTCTGAGACTATCGTTATTGCCACTGTAAAAATGATAGTATGGAAGCACAGAGAGGTTAAGCAGCCTGCTCCGGGTCACACAGCGAGATGGTGCACAGCCGGGACACAGATCCCGGCAGCCGGCTCCGGGGCCCACACCAAACTCCCGAGCCACAGGACTCTCAAACTGAGGGCCACTTTTCCTGGGATACCACCCTGACTCCTCCCCGGAACTCTAACATCTGGGGAAAACATGTGTCACTGACGAGCAAGGCCCAGGTAGACTGAGCACAAGGTTGTCTGAGCGACCCCCACCGAGAGAACTGCATCTGTGGACTCGGAGAACAGGTGGTGTAGAAATGGGGGCAGCGCCAGCCGTGTAGACCAAGAGGCCCAGGGCAAAAAGGAAATGCAGGGCTCGTTATTCAACAGTTACTAGGACTTTAAGGTGGTGACGGCAGAGCATTGAACCGGGTGCAGGGCCCTTCTGAGTGCGGGACCCTGCGTGGCTGTGTCTGCCGTGGAGCCGCCTGGGCTGGGAGGGCTCCCCTACCCCAGAAGGAACTTGCCAGTGTGCCTCTGGTGAGCGAGTCTGGATCCAGAAGCTGACGCTGGGGGAGGCTCTTGAGAGAGTCCTTATCAAGGCATAACTCAGCACATGACACGTCCGAGATGTCACCTGGATCCGTGTCCTGCCAATCAGCGTCAGTGCCTGAGGGAGGGCTTGCTGACTGCGTGGACACAAGCAGAGAAACATATATCAAAACTGAGAGCTAGCCTAGAGATATTAATGTGATTTATTTTAAACTCCCTTATTGTGTAAAGAAAGTAGGACCCAGAAGAGCTGGGGGGTGGGGGTGGGGGAAGGGAATGCCTAATAGAGAAAGTTCTAGAACTAGAACCCAAATATCCAGCTGCTGGTTCACCATGTCTTCCTTGTCTGTGACACACATTTTCCCCTGATGCTGGAGTTCTGGGTAGGATTCCTGGTGGCGTCCCAGGAGGAGCAGTTCTCAGTGTGAGGGTCCTGTGGCGCAGGGGTGTGGGGTGGCCCTGGGGCCGGTTGCCTAACCTCTCTGTGCTTCTATCTCATTATCTGCACAAAGAGATGACAGCAATATTCTTGGGTGAGGATTGTGAGAAGTAATCCCCACAGAAGGATAAACGTAAAGTCAATAAACATTACAGACTCAGGGTTTGTGTCCTCCAAAAGGCACCCTGTGATGTCCTAACCCCCAATGTGATATTCTTCGGAAGCGGGGCCTTTGGCAGCTAATTGGGTTTAGACGAGCTCACGAGTGTAGGGGCCCCATGATGGATGAGTGTTCTTCTCAGAAGAGGAAGAGACGCCAGAGGTTGTTGGGGTTTTTTCCTCTCTGCCAAGTTCGGACACGGCAAGAATGTGGCAGTCTACAGACCAGAGAGAGGGGTCTCATCAGACACAGATCAGCCGATACCTCGCTCTTGGACTTCCCGTTCTCCAGAAGTGAGAAAGAAATGCCTGCTGTTTAAGCCACCTGGCCTATGGGTTTTTGTTAGCGCAGCTGGAGCTGACTAAGACAATGAGCATCGGCTACTGCTGCTTGGAGACAATACAAGTGGCTGCCACTTGGTCCCGGGCAGGTGACCCAGTGACTCCAAGTTGCTTCCTATGTAAACAATGGAAACAATCATAGGTACCTTCCAGGCTCTCAACGAGGGCTTAGCACACTGCCTGACAGATCAGGCAAACGGAACAACAGCAGTTTTCAGCAATTTCAGTTATTACATAAAATCTCAACTTCTAGAAACAACCTTTTTTTTTTTTTTTTTTACAGAAAGGACCTGCCTTTTATTTTTTATTTTTATTTTTTTTTAAATGTTTTATTTATTTCGACGAGAGAGAGAGAGAGAGACAGCGTGAGCAGGGGAGGGTCAGAGAGAGAGGGAGTCACAGACTGAAACAGGCTCCAGGCTCTGAGCTGGCAGTCAGCACAGAGCCCGACGCGGGGCTCGAACCCACGAACCGCGAGATCATGACCTAAGCGAAAGACGGACGCTTAACCGACTAAGCCACCCAGGCGCCCCATGGACCTGCCTTTTATTAAGCAGAGGATAAAAGACCTGAAATGGCATCTCCCCAGAGGGACCACTCACCCTGAGGCCCATAAGCCGGTGATGCGTCAGGGACTGAGCCACTGAGCTAAGTCCCCTTAAATGGGTCATTTGCCCCCAAGGTCTATTGGACACATCTCATTTCTAAAAATGCCTGTTGATCATTGACCCTAAAAGCTATCAGACTAGCAGGCGAAAAATAAAAGCTAGCATAACAAACAAACGAACCTGTGACCTCCGGCCTGCTGGTAAGATCATGTCAGGAGAGAGCGAGGTTTGTAACATTTACAGACAGGGCTGAGCTCGCACTGGCTCCAACTGGTGGAGGTGTCCGTGGTGGGGGCCCTGTGGGTGGTGTTTGCAAAATGACCTTGAAACCAGACCAGGGTGGGGGGTGGGTAGCGGGGAGCTGGGGAACCCCCGCTTGACAATCATGACTAATATGTGTGAAATTCAAAAGCCTCGGTGGCTCTGAATTCACTTCAAGGTTATTTAAAAAAATAATGACTCAGAAAATACTGAGGATGAAAACAGCAGTTTCTAGGCTAGTTAGAAAAGAGTATTGTGAGACCAGAAACAAAACAAAACAAAACACAACACTTCAATTAAGATTATTTTTCTCGGTTGGGAGATGTGATTTTTAAAACAATGACCTTCACATCCTGCTTACATCAACTGTTAAAAATACCATTTGGGGGTTTTGTTTTCGTCTCTCCTGGGCATAGGCTGTGAAACGAACCACCTTTGTACACAGAGCGAGTTCTTTGGAGGAAAAGGAGTCGGGAATCTCAGAGCGTGGCTACATAACGCGGAATTGCGAGGGCCCCGCTCTGACCCCACTGACAGCCTGGAGGATTTGTCCTTAGGATCGCGTCCCCCTCTCTCCTTCCCTCCCACGATTTCACACAGTTCCATGTGCACATCTTGTACACCCTTGTGCTCTGGACCCTGGAGGGGGGCAGAGGGGAGAACGCCCCGCTTTGGGGGCTCTGTTCTCTCACTCTGCTGTGCAGTCCCAAGCAATTTGTGTGACTCTTCTGTTTGCTGAGGCTGAAACCGGAGTGATCGTTACTAAGTAGGGAGCTAACAGGCCAGATACAACCTCGAAACTCCCGGACGAAATTTCACGGGAGACTTAATGCTTGTGCTAACAGTCTCCAGAATTCTTGTTTCGGTCCAAGGACAGCTTCTAAAAGTTTGATTGCTGTCTGTTTAATAAACACAGACTGGATAGTTGAGCAAAGAATGATGTGTTCACAGGTCCTGGTGTAGCAGGGAGCTCCTATTTTTTGGGTGGATAACGCAGAGCTATCTGGGGTGCCTGACTCAGTTGGTTGAGCGTCCGACTTTGGCTCAGGTCACCATCTCACAGTTTGTGAGTCCGTGCCCTGCGTCAGGCTCTGTACTGACAGCCTGGAGCCTGTTTGGATTCTGTGTCTCCCTCTTTCTCTGCCCTCCCCCTGCTCACGCTCTTCTCTCTCCCTCTCTCAAAAATAAACATTAAGAAAAAGATACTAGCTGTCAATAACTGGCTCAGGAGGAATCCCAATTTCCAGGTGTCCTGCAGAGAAGGTAGGGATTCTCTGATCCCCTGGGGGATCCCCAGACCAGCAGCAGAAAGGGCACCTGGTAGCTTGTTAGAAATGCACATTCTTGGGTCCCAGGCCCTCCAAATCGGATACTCAGGGGACAGGGCCCAGGAACCTGTGTTTTCATTGCCATATATGGGACTCCGGCACATGCTGACGGATGTTTTCCACAATTTCCACATTTCCGGGCAGTGTCGTCTTAATGAATTGTTAATGCAGGTCAAATTTGGTGAAAAGTGCTCTGACTGACTTCCCTATAGGGTTTGGGTTTTCAAGTGTAACTCCCACAGCTGGAACTCCATGCCACCAGGGCTCTTTTTTTTTTTTTTTTAATTTATTTATTTTTGAGAGACAGAGTGAGACAGAGCATGAGCAAGGGAGGGGCAGAAAGAGAAGGAGACACAAAATCTGAAGCAGGCTCCAGGCTCTGAGCAAGCATTCAGCACACAGCCTGACACGGGGCTCGAACCCACACACTGTGAGATCATGATCTGAGCCGAAGTTGGACACTTAACCAACTGAGCCACCCAGGCGCCCCTCCACGCCACAAGGGCTTTTTAACGTGACAGCATCGTGAGCCATTTTGCCAATAGCACCTTAAAAATGTTCCATTTCCCACAAAGACAGGAAGGCTGTGATAAAGGAAGAGAGCAAAGTACCACCAGATAGTCTGCAAGACAGGCCAAGGTGCAGATTCTTTATAGTGTTACAGCCTTTGCAGTGCCTACTCTGTGGGCAGTAAACGTGCCTGTCAGGACGACAGAATACACAATGCGCTCAGCAGTGTCAGGGCAAAGATGGGCTAAGTCTTATATAGAAATGCTCCTTCTCCAGGGACAGCATAATCACTTATAATCTGTCCCCACCCCCGCTTCTGGGGGCCCTGCCATTTGGGGAATGAGGCAAGGTTATGCTGCACAGTATGAGAGCCCGCGGAGCACACCCTGTGGTGTCGGCCTCCGTGGGAGAATTTATGCCCTGGAGACTGACAGACGCTATAAATGAGGGCTTTAAAATTTTTTATATTTCAAAGCGGGCTTACCGGCACATCACTGGAATTAGGAGAATACAGAGCTACAAGGCAGATGCTGTTGACTAAGCTCCTCTCCTCTGGAATAGCAGTCTTTTGAAATAGTATTTGTTTTAAGATCGAGACTCTTCTTTTTTTAATCGTTGTTGTTTTGTTTTGCTTTATTTTTGAGAGAGACCCAGAGTATGAGCAGGGGAGGGGCAGAGTAAGGGAGACACAGAATCCGAAGCAGGCTCCAGGCTCTGAGCTGTTAGCACAGAGCCCGATGCTGGGCTCGAACCCACAAATTGCGAGATCGTGACCTGAGCCAAAGTCGTTTAACCAACCAAGCCACCCAGGCGCCTCAGGATCAAGACTCCTCTTGATGGTCAGGATGGTACCCACACTGGGATTCAAAGCAAACCCGTCAGAGAATTTCCTTATGCCTCTTGATCATTGCTGTTCTTGCTTCTGCAATGAGGCCTCTGCTAGACACCCGAACTGTTTTTGCTAAGAACCACCTAGGTGTTTGCTAGGCAGTCTTGTCTCCCAGAAGTGCCAGAGCTGTGGGCTCAGCCACTGGGGTGGCCCTCTCCCTCCCCCCTCACTCTCTTCCTTCTTGAATCTACTCCAATAGCAAGCAGAAGACTGGAGGTCTTAGTGAAAGGGCAATTTTCATTCACTTATACAGTTAATGCTTATCGAGCGCCTACGGTGGTCCAGGCACTTATGGGAATAACTCTACAAACGTGGCCCCATTCAGTGTTCACAGAAGCCCCAGGAGATACAAATTCTAAGTGTCTCCATTTTCCAAGTGAGGAAGCTGAAGCTTAGAGAGATAAGCAGAAGCCAAGATGAACTTGATGTCTGATTCCTTTAACCCACATGAAGCCAAGTCACAGACACTGAAGTCTACTTGGAATTAATCTTGTACCCAGTTCTTTCTTCCTCTGGACTGTGTTATCTCCCTGGAGCCCGTTAGCCCTTGGGGGAAACAGACATCTGGTGGATCTGCCCCAGATGTGCTCAAGTCATATCA